ATCATTATTATTATTATTATTATTATTATTATTATTATTATTATTATTATTATTATTATTATTACTTATAACTCATAATGAGGAATAAATATTTTACCAATCAAAAAGAAAATCAAATATTTCATGCTCAGGCCTTCTTTTAAAGAGCCGCTTGGGATCGGTCGGTGGCCCTTGGTAATAATAAATATTTGTCTTTTATTTTAATTATTTTGGTCGCAATTGCTAAAATTAATTTGCAATATGCATATGTTTTTATTATCTCTCTTTGCTCTTTTTTTCTTTGAATCGATCCGCGCATCGCGCGGGTACGTACACTAATTTAAAATATTTAAAATAAAGAATAATGAAATAAGAAAAAAAAAAAAGGCAAAATCGAATTCATCTCCCCAAATTCACCAAATCAATTCCATGTATCGTATATTTGCCTTAATTTTTTTTTTCATCAGCTTTCTTGTCACATTCCGTATATAGCCAGCCACCGTTCTACTCATTCTTTTCATCATCAAAATCATTAAATTATTTAAAATTGAGCAAATCCCATAAAATATACTATTTCTTTTGAATGTTCAGATATTGAAGAAGAAGAAAAAAAGGCAATTGTTAGTGTTAATATACGTCTGAAGCATTACTAAATGACATTACAAACAATGAGATGATTCACAGTCCACATTAATGGTACTGGTAGTGGTATATGTAATCTGAAGATATGAATAATCCTGGAACCAGAGAAAAACAAATTAAATAACAGTAAAGGAAAACATAATTTCTTCCATAAAGATTGTTAAAGTTCAAATTGTAACTACGGGCTAGCCTAAAAAGAAACTGATAAACTATTGAGCTTCCATTAGAAATAGTCACAAGCAGATGTGATTTTTGAGAATTGGAATAAAAGAAGTTAATCTGGGAAGGTGAAAAGATTTTTAACTGGTATGAACTTGTAATGTTTAATGAAGAATCGTGTTTTTGGGGGGATTTTCACATGAAGTTATAACTGATATTAAATGTGTGTAACTGATGATGCGAAAACGCTACAAGAAGCGACGGTTTTTGTTTGTAACCAAAAGAAGTGATTTGAATTATCTTTTAGGGAACATCCTTTTTTCCCCATCATTTTTAAAAAGTTAAAAGAGTAAAAAAATGACAAAAAAAAATACAAATAATGGTTTAAGAGAAATGCCACCTCATCTACTATTGGCCTTCTTTTATATAGATATAGATTATTTAGATCTTGAGAAAAACATGGTAAGATGTACTCCCTCACAGTGCCCAATTTGATCTCCAGTGGAACAATGTCATCTCACCCTCACAGAGAGCAAAGCAGTGTCATGACAGTCATGGTGAACAAGATCACATGAGAACCAGTATAGAAAACGGGGGAGAAGTATAACACACATTCAACATCCACGCAATTTCTAATCTTTTCGTATTATGGTTCTCTCAACTCTTCCAGAAGTTCTATCGGATTGATGAATTTTGTTGGCCCAAAAAAAAAAGCGTCAACAAGAAGTAAACAAGGAAAGGCCTTGCGTTTTCGCTTATAAAATACCAAAAAGCCACTATATTACACACAAAAAATGTCGGAATGATTAAAGATCATGTTTGTTGCATTTGCTTCTTCAGACCTCCAAGAGGACCATAACCTTTCTCCTCTACCTTTCCCATATGACAACTACAGCTACTGATGTTAAGATTAGAACCACATTTTAGGCATATACCTTTGCACTTGGAATCACAGACAGCATTAATGGTGATTTCTATGTGCACCAGATCTCTAATTTGTTTTGAAATGTCGATAACTTTTTCTTGAGGAGGAAAATACAGCTGGTCTTCTAAATCGATCCAAGCATCATCGTCCTCCATTTCCTCTTGGTCGTGTCCAAAACTTTTGAATTTGTCCTCCCCAAACATTATGCCCATATCCAATGTCTCTGGCTCCTTAATAGGTTCTTCACTGAGTAGGAGTGAAAAGTTTGAAAAGATACTTTCTGCAGCTGGTTCACCGCACCTTCACAAATACAATATTCACCGTGAGCAAAAAGACCAATATTTCTGCTTTGAAGTGAAAGGAAAGCGGAATTTGACAACAAAGAAATACTGAGCATTAGAATTAGAAGGTAAAGTTTTCAGGTTATGTATACGTGCAAGACAAGAATTTTTATTTTCTGAACCATTTTATAAGGCACGAAGATAATCTAAACGGTACCCAATCACTTTCAACGATAATAGGGAAGACCTGTTTTAAAGTGCACATTCCATTGAGTTACAGGACAAGTAAATGTCCTATGAAGAAAATCTTATATCCTCTTTGTCCCCTCTTGCGCAATCTTTTAGTTCTGGATTAAATGGGTCTGTTTCGTCCAATCTAGTCAGTAGTCACCACTTGACCACCTTATGCAGATGTAAAGCTAGGTACTAACTTCTTTTACAATCTCTAGGTAACACAAGTTATTTCATAATTTCCAGCCTAGTCATCATCAGAGACTCTTTTTTTATTCATTTTTTTGGATGACCGAGAAATTCCTGAGAGCCAGTGGCGGGTCCGTCCTTCAACCCGTCTCCACTTAAATACCTAGCATGCCTATGGCAGGGTTTGAACCAGATGTGCGCCGAACCTGCATATCACACATTGCTCTCTTACCACAAACCAAAGCCATGGGGGCTTCAAGGCTGATCGTCATCAGAGAATCTCATGAGGCATTTCTTCCAACTTGATGCAGTTCGGACCTTTTTGGCTTCCACCATGGCCAGTATTCTTAGAAATCCTATACTTTGAAAGTCATTCATCAAACCATTCATGTGTCCTTATGATTGGCAGAAGAAGTGTTAAATAAACTTAGGAAAAAGGAACCAAAAATCATGAATATATATTGATTTCCAGGCATTCACTTTAACTCAAGAAAAAGGAAAAAATCACATGAATTGTCATCAAAGCTACTAAAGTTACAGAACTCACCTTTTTGCTTTTTGTTACAATCATGTCGATGAAAATCGTTAAGCCTGTGTTTCATCCTCTATCTAAAGAAGGAAAAATTGATCCACTGATCACCAAGATTGGAACTCATGACCACCTTAACATCCTCAGATTATTATTATGATTTACTATTTTTGCCTATTATTGCCGGAAGTTCACCTATTAAAATTATGACCGTCCAGTAAACTTAGAAAATATTTCGCCTCCTAAAAATATTTCGCCTCCTACTGCTCCAAGCTTATTTCTGGTCCCAACTCTCTATTGTAACTTGACTTTAACTGCAAACTTCGGATAGTCCAGCAAAGCTTAAGAAACTAAGTTGAGAAGTATGAGACCTCCCACTCTATGTAAGTTACAACCATTTTATTTCAGAAAGCAATTTTGCACTATTCAACTTGTTATCAGTCCTTCTCAGAACTGGAACATTTATAACTACAGAAATGGTTTATTAGCAAAATATATAAGAAGATACTTGCATCAACAACTTTAGAAGCACATAAAATTTGTTAGGATGTTGATTTTACTGTGGCATGGAATACACCAAAAAGAAAAGGAGTTGTAAGAGTTCCAGGTGCAGATAGGAAATACCATATCTGGGTACTTGAATTTCAGAGAAGGGCATGAAGTTTAGTGAAATGAAATGTACGCTCGTTTAAAGAAACAAACTGAAGTTGCTCCTCTAATGATTTATGACATGGACTTGTGAAAAACTATAGCATGGTACACTGCTTCCGTCACCTAGTTCCTATAAGTGTTTTCACCTGAAACACGTGAGATAATTGGGCCCCTCCGTTATCCTATAGAAAGAAACTATTCCATCTATCCTTAACGGGACAATACAACTGCCTAAAATTAATTTCAAGGAAACATTAAAAATTCATAGGCCCATTTACAGGGAAGCCAAAATTCTATCATGTATTTATCATCTCCAGATTGTCAATCACACAATGATTGGAAAGGCAATGTTCAAATTTCTGTTAGCATTGGGAATGAGCATAGACCAGCAAATGCTTGAAAGATATCTCAAAGTAAATCATAGGGGGGACAAAAAAATTCATTAAGTAAAACAAAAGAACATAGAATCACTTAAAATCTACAAAGCTTTCTGTTTATTCGAGTTTCAATAAGAAATATGGGGCAGCTACAGGCTCAATATTGCAAGAACCCAACTTAGTAATTTCTAATTCATGTGAGAATTCCACCTACTATAGCTATGTTTTTTTTCTTTTTTCTTTCTTTTTGAATGAAGCAAGTGATTTCATTAAAGAGGCATCAAGAAGATGGAAAAGAATACAACGATGTAGCTTTTAAGATCACAAAAAGGGCTTAGTAGCTACCGTCTAGATTAAAGAGCTAACAAAATCCAGAAATTGCTTTAGCTATGTTTCTCTCTGTGACAGCTCTCTCAAACATAGAGAAAGACCACAGCACCATTAGGACTGATATATATTGTTAAGGTCCGCAAAGTGGACCATTCCCAGTAAAATTTTCAGCAGGAGAAAAGGCATCAAGTTTTGATAATCAAGAGGAAGTTCCACCATACAAGATGAAGTACAAAGCTTGGATACTACTAAAATACAGTGATCAAATTGAGGAGAAGTTTATTCTTGCAACCTTGAAAATTTCAGCACGAGCATCAAAGAGGAAGCAGACAGGAGATATATATTTACCTCCTTTGGATTTTTCTAAATCATATTCATCATATCGATAATAATTTTAGGAAACTTTGGAAGAGGAATACAAAAATAAACTTCAATTTATTCTCTTCGTGCGAACCAGAATTGTAAACCAAAGAGCAATTGTGTCGTTATTGAGTAATCAACCAATCTACACCCCAACAAAATTTGCTGGCTATATGAATCATCTATCCTCCATATTTATTCCGTTCTATTTAGCCCCATCTCATTCCACTACTAAATGATTTGAGCATTTTAACACAAAGTAAGGTACCTTGAGCTAGAGGTGCTTTAAATCTCATTGTATGCTGACATATAAGTCTCACATAGTATCGGAAACATTTGACCTTATATAAACTAATAACAACTGAGCCAAATTGCAACTAGTTGGTATTGCCTACATAGATTCTTTGTTTCGATAATGTCCTATTATGATCTAAGTAATGATTCTAAGAAATTTTACTATCTTTTGAGACAACTTATTGATCTGAACTTAGGTTCGTCTTTCCATTTTAGCAATTTCAATGATCAAAATATTGCATCCACAGACTAGTGCATATGGAGGTATGCGTAGTACATGGTGGTAAAACCATCTAGGTTTATCCTCTATGTATGGAACTTTTGTAAATGTTCATGGAACTATTCTATTTCTCATAAACTTTATGACCTTCCAATCACTAATGATGATGAGATACTCTTTGCAGAGAATCATGTTTTTTTGGTAGATTCTCTACTTTTTGTATATATGTAGAATGTGGCGTTTCTTCTCCAATAATTAATAAATCGTCGGAAAAATTTATCCTTATGAGTACTACTTGCTCCCTCTGTCAAATGTGACATTCATCGGATGAATTATTCTCGTATAATCGCACATCCATCGTCGTTTTATGCAAGTGATGCCTAGACCAATTTGTGCACACCTCGACTAATCAACAAGCAACTTGAATAAATGAACATAGGTGTTGGATAAGCCTGGCCACCAAGGCTAGAGTAGATAGGCTTCCACTCAGTGTTGTCATGGGAACTCGAACCTAGGATCTCCATGTTATTACTAAGCTTCAACCACTCAGCCATCTCATTGGGGACATGGCCATGCATCTATCTCAACATTTTTTTTTTTTGATTTGCACCGGGTGTCCGAGTCTCTTCGAGCCCCGACTATTCCCGAGGGTGCACAGGCCCTCGGCAAGGAGTTTCCCGCAAGTGCACCACGGTTAATTCAGGTTTTACCCAGTCCGATGGCCCTCAGAAATTGTTTGCACCCAGTGGGTTTCGAACTTGAGACCTTGAAAGGGAGCAAACCCCAAGGCTCAAGTCAATTGCCACCAAGCTCAACATTTGCACTTCTTAAACATTAATATGTTGGATCTTAGAAGTCCAATATTTACTCTCATACTAATATTCATATAAGGGCGGAGCCAGAACTTCATATAAGGGATTGAAAAAACACTAGAACGTTGCAGCTAGATTTGAACCTATGACCTAAAACAATTTTTGAACCCCCTTTTGCCACTGCACCAGAAACTTTGCTTATGTCAAGGGGACTAACAGTTTATATACAACCAAAACAGTTTGTTTTGCCCTATTTGTAAAGTATTTTTCTAGAAAAAGGGATTGCATTGAACCCCCTTGCCTGAAATTAGCTACGCCCCTGTCAGGTATAGAATAAACTCAAAAATTACATCAAACGCATTGAACTTCTGATTGATCTAGGTGTCCTTCTGGACATTTGTTTGGCGTTGATCGTGACAAATAACTGAAGCAACATGAAAGAGAATATGAAAGTTTACTACCTGAAAAAATAACTGTAAAACTACAGAAGCATAAACAAATACAGTACCTGTTGCAACCAAGTGAGAGGACTGTCCTGATGATTCCATCAAGCCTCAACTTTTGCTTCTTTCTTGTCACATCAAGGGAAATCAATACGGGAGTTCCATCAGGATAATCTTTGACATCTTTGGTCACCCGCAGTCCCATTACCGAAGCCCGAGACCTCGAAACCTTTGTGGAGAGCTTGCCCAAACCCAGCCTTTCTAAAGTGGTGCAATATTCCAAATGTGTTACTGAAGAATTTCTTTTATACACAACCGCCCCTTCCCATGGAGACCCCTCATCTTCTTGTATGTCACCTTGCTCCTCATCCACCCAATCAAAATCGGGATAGGTTTCCTCTAAAAGAAAATTACTTTTCTGGTTTCTAATTACAAACTTTGAGCTAGTAAGCGAGTACTTCCTAAATCTAACATTCCCTAGTCCACTAGCAGCAATATGACCGTACGAGATGTTGCAGTAACCCAAATGGACATTTGGGTTCAAATTGAGCTTCTTTATGTGGTATACATTTTGTAGTTTATATGGAATACCACATGAAGGGGAAACTGTGGAGGATGACGAACATACAAGAGGCATTTCCAACAAAGTAGAATAGAGAGTTCTTCAGAGATACAAGCTAACTAGGCAAAATCATCTGCAAGAGAACAAAAAATATAGAACAATTACATGAAAGCGGCAAAACAATTAACTACCTATTTATTGAGCTGAAAACTGTAAGATTGAGAAACTTAAAACTCAGTTGCTATTTGACAAGGAAGTAGAAAAAGATTAGGAAATTTGAAGCAAATACAAAAGGAAAAGGGAGGGGGAAAAAACAGAAAATCTTACAAAATTGTTTCAAAGGGAGAGCTTCGGAGCAGGATTTAAGGCAAGGAAAGCGAGTTTCTGAGCAGGAATTGGCGAGGAAAGCGATTGATTTGTTTGTGGCAGAGGGAATAGAGAGCTTGCTGCGGCTTCACATTCCTTATCCAAATGAAGTTGGGAACCTTTTGAGATTCAGCTGTGTCTGCCTATGTATGAAAAATGGAACGAAAAGTTGGACGCTGGGTGGCAGTTGTGGCTTAATACATATTTAATCCCCCACTTAGGGAAACGGGCCACAAAAATGCCCTCAACTATAAGATATAGAACAATTATGTCCCAAATATACTTTCTTTTTTTTGGGTTGAACCGAGATATATCCTGGTACTATATTAGACTTTTAGGTAAAATTATTTTACCAAAATATCTATCAAAAGCTAATTCACCAAATTACCTAAAGTCTTTCTCCTTAACTATCATTATTTATTCTTTAAATCACTTAATTTGTAGATCTACCTACCAAAATATAATTAATAATTTAGTTATGTAATCTGAATGTGACTACGTGACAAAAAAAATAAAGAGACTAATTAATTGCATTAATAGTTGTTCAATTAGTATTATTTTGAAGGGGGTGTATGTAAAGCGTATATGTTACTGATTATTTAACTTCTCATGTCCTAAAGCTTTATTGTTTAATTTCTTAGATTACTTTAGATGTGATTCTTGGCCTATAAATATATTTTTTTAGAGATAAATACCTTGGTAACTTGAAAAGTTCTGTCGTCGGTGGTTGAACATGTACACAGAGACAATAAGTGGCCATAGAGTTCTCCTCAACTATAATTAAAGATCAATCTACGTTTATATAGGCATCTCCAGTATAACAGATTTGTAGGGTATAAAACTTTTTATTTTTATCTTTCCTTTAAATTAACAACTTGCAGGCTTAAGTTTGGCAGCTTGCATTCAAATTGATCACTGTCGTTTTTTTCCTTTTTGTAATTGTTGCATTGTCATTTTAATTTTGAATTGCTCTCATGGTCTATTTTATTGTTGAAGCCTTATGCTATTATTTCTTTGTATAAGGTTTTAAAGGATTTTTTTCACATGTAGTCATGATGATTTTGAACGTGTGTGAATTTTCAGAATGCACCAGCAATTATTTTGCTTTTTTGTTGCAACCTGTTTATGTTACAAACTGAAATTCATTTGTTTTATCATCTCTATTTTCATATCATTACAAGAATTTCTAAAATTCTGAAGAATTCTAGCATTTATACACACGGTTATATTTCAAGAATATCACGCTCTAGCAGTTGGAGTCTAAGTTGTAATTGCAATGTGGATTCATCATTAATTGTGAGTATTTGGGGATCCATTACTCATCTCTACCATATTCCTTTATATATTGAGCTAAATAGGATCCATATTAATAGTGCTTATAATTTTTCCTCTAAAATTAAAGTTAGATTACTAAAATACTCATAGAAAAATTAAACAACTATTTTACCCTTCTTTTAAATCCTACTTCTATAATATTTTTGCACCAAAAAAATAAATTTATTTTCTAATAAATGATCAATAAATTTATACAACAGTCAATCAGCTAATAGAAAAGACAGTTGTTGGAAGATAACTATAATGAACAGAGTAAATAATAATTAAGTTGTATTGATATAGTTGATAAAGTTGTATTACTATAGCCTTTCAATTCCTTCGAATCACTTTTCTATTCTCTCCACCAAACTATTACAATGGAAAAAATCTCTTTTTATCTAAAATAACATTCTTCAGGGAGGTTATCAATGGTGAAAATCCACCTTATTTTCTTTGGAAGAACAAGAACCTCTTTGGTAACTTCGAACATCTATGAAGCAAATACATTATAGGAAATAAAAAGAGCAATGTTTTAGAATACCTAGAGAAGATGAAAATATTTTTTTCCTTCTTTGTTTCACAACTATTAACTAAAAAAATTTAGAATACCTAGCCGTACAAGTCATTAACAGCTAAGACTTGGAATTTACAACGTTGGTAATAAGAAATACGTCATCTGTTTGAATATACATAAATAGAAATAGAAATTTGTCACTACCCGGAATTCTCACCGTCGGGACCGTGATTGCACCTAATATTTTACTAGCTAGGCAAGCCAACGTTAGAATATATTATCTATTTTTAACAGTTGAATTGAATAACGAGAAATACTGAAATAACTGAAATATGAATGTGGAAGCTAAAACTGTCAAACACCTACTACAAAATCCCTGAACCTAGTGTTACAAGTGCACAAGCTACTAGAGTAATACATACAAGGATCTGAAATAAATACAAAGCTGTCTGAATGAAAATACACAGCTAAATATAAATAAAGAAGGGGACTTCAGGAGTTGCGGATGCCGAGCAGTCGTACCCCAAGTCTCCACTAAGTTGATCAATCCAAGCACTCTAATAACCGCCGCTGGGACCAACTCCAAAATCTGCACAGAAGTGCCGAGTGTAGTATTAGTACAACCGACCTCATGTACTGGTAAGTATCGAGCTTAACCTCGACGAAGTGGTAACGAGGCTAAAACGGGTCACCTATACTACAACATGTGCGCAGTATATATATTAGATTGTATGGATCCACCAAATCGTAGAGCACCTGGTCCTCTACAAAATTCTGCTGAAAGCACTAGGTAAAGAAGTAAGTAAATGAGGCAGAGGATTTTTACGTGGAAAAATCCCACACAAGGGAATCAAAAAATCACGACCTACCTTGTAGGCTTTTAACTTCACTAACTTGTAATCTTACCTATTACACCACACTTTACAATACTTCCTATTGCAAAGAATTTACTCAACTAACTTGTGGTACCTTTACCACAAGTCACTTTGTGACTATCCTAGCTACAAAGGTTTTTTCTAACTTGTGATGCTATCACCACAAGCCAGTTTGTAATTCTACAATTACAAAGACTTTTCCTTATGACTAAATCTAGTCACAACATAAACTCAACGAGTTTACGGATTTACATGAGGATTCTTAATCAGTATGCTTCTAGATAAGCGATTTAGGAGATATGGTAAGTACAATAACAAGGTTACAACTCAACTAGGACAGCAAGCATCAATCTTTTAGGAACTGGTCCGTAGTGGCGTTCAACCTTGTTCTTCAAGCTTGAGAGGATGATTTTTCTGTTTTTGCAAGAGGCTTGAATGAGAAACAGAAACCTTCCAGTGATGTTTTTGTATAAAGCACATTTGGTACATCTTGATCACATGACTTGAAATGATGTGATTACTTTGTTTGATTAGAGAGTGAGTGGACTGACAGTGTGGTGCAGTGTGGCAGAAATAGTGTCGTTGGTCACTTCATTTCCAACTGTGTCCAAATGACTTTGTACTGCTATGAGGAAACCACAAAAGCATCAAGTCCTTTGGTTCCTAGTTCCTGAAGCTGCAACAATTCATCTTTAACTGAAATCTGTTAACGCATGCAGTAATTCAAGTAGGTTAGGTTCCCTATCTGGTTCTTAACCATAAGTTTGTTAGATCATCAAAACATTAGGCAAGAGCATTTAAGATCTATAAATTTCCTCCTTTTTGATGATGACAAACTTCAACAATTATAAATCGGAATTGGGGCAGTAGAAACCAAACAACCAATTTCAAAGAGTTCCTCTTGAGACTATGCCTTGTCTTAAACAATAATAAAGCATAAGAACTAGTTCCCTAATGTGTTCCCCCTGAGTCCTATATAAGAACCAGTTCCCCAATGTGTAATTTCCCCCTTTTAGCATCATTAAAAAGAACAACAGCACAAAGAAGTCCAGCTAAGCTAACTCATGCCACATATATGCACACAATCATGAGAAAGAATAGAACACAGAGAGACAGTACGAGACATAAGAAAAAGAATTCATATTAGTAATTTTTAATATGCCTCGTCCTTTGAAAAAAGGAAGAGGCTACATTGGACTTGTTCACAGGAGCAGTATTAGTACATCCCAACCATAAAAAAGCAAAACAAACATCCACCAACCATCAACAAAGAGACAAAGAAGAAGAAACATATCCAGAAAACTGGTCACTAAAGGGGTTCTTAGGGGGCACTAGGAGGAAAAGGCTTGGAAGTTGTAGCAAGTATTTGGAGAACAAGGTCTATTCGGGCGTTTTCCGACTTTTGCTCGTTGAGCAGTTCAGCCTTCAGGTTCTCGACTTGCGCCCTGAGATCAGCATTTTCTTGGGTCAAATGAATCACCTCATCATTTGACATAGGAACCGCTCGGGCTTGCTGACCTTCCAAGATAGTATTCTTGGCCTTCAATCGACGTATTTCCTCAGCTGCACTATTCTGGACATTGATGAGCTGATACAGAGTTGAAGTACTTCCTACACCCCCATACTTCTCAATACACTCGCACTCTTCCAAGGTTGTCTGAGAGAATGTCTATTTATGGGTCCCCATTTTACTTGTTCCCAGTGGAACCTCAAAGAATTTGAACACCTGAGTGAGCTAGAATCCATAAGGAAGCCCGTGATTACCATCCTTGAAATTGGCCACCTTCTGCATATGTTCAATCATTATGGCAGGCAGACTCACAGGGTTGAAACCGTCTAGTTGCTCCATTAGGTATAGATCAGATTTTGAAGTTACAGACCTCCTTTCTGCTCGAGGCAACAGGACTTTGTTAACCAGCTCAAACGGCAGTTGGTAGACAGGAAGTAGTGCTTTCTTATGGATCTTGTCCCCTTTCTGATTAGAATTATCTTTTACCACTGCATTTTTGAAGTTGTACTGACAGACATCTCGTACACTCGACACCCCAACTATAGGAACTTGCAAAATTTCTCCAAGCAATTTCACGTCAAAGACAATGTCCACCCTATTGACCAACGCACAAACATGGTCAGTATCGATTGGAAAAAGACTGGCGAAGAAACTCTGTACCTCCTCCTCATACACTTTAGGGGCATCAATGTAGAATAGATACATCCATTGTTGAAACTCCACCATTTCCAGAATTTGGCGCATTCCGGCCATCTCCGAGATTATTGGGTCAAACGTACGACCTAGTAGAACTTTTTGATGCCTTAGGCGCTCAGAGCCAAGGTAGACCTCACTTCTTGCTTTCTTTCCAGAACTAGGTTCTTCAACTATTTCAGACATACATTTCCTATGCTTTTCTCCACTGACTTTGCCTTTCCCCTTGGACTTGACAAGAATATCCTCATCACTCACTGCCTCCTTCAACTTGGACTTAGAAGTA